AAGTTCTGGCTCGAATCAAAGTATAAATTAAGAAACGTTTTCTCTCTATCTCAGTAATCTGTAATTAATGTGAAACGGAAGTTAGACAAGCGAATGTCTTGATTGATTCTGTAATTAAAAATGTAATCTAGAATTAACTTATTTATATTCATTGACTGATGTAGATTAGCAGAAAAGGTTTTTCTATATTCCTTCTAAGAGGTAAATTGAGTTTGTTGATGGCAAAGGGATGTTTATTATTTTCTATTATATCATATAAAGAACACATTATTTGGTAATTTTGTTAAAGATGGCGAACTTTGTCTGTGGCTCATCTCTAATTTTCTTTTTTTGATTATTACAAAAAAAAAACCGTTACTGTACTTATCTCTCTCTCTCTCTCTCTTTTAAGAGGTGACTAAAAAAAAACAACAACAATTAACTTAAAACGTCATCTTTTAGAACGAAGACCATCCATCCATATAAAGTTTCTGTCAAGAAAAACACGTAAGCTCTTCAAAAAATTGAAAATGTTACCGAGCCTGGAGCCTAATTCCACGAATCCCTTTGTGTTGAAAAAAATAAACATTCGCACGTTCATCACTCCATTTTGTTGAGTCTAGGGCTCGTCGAATAGATACGGTGCAAGGCAATAGCGTGAGAGAATTGTTTCCTTTTTGTGATAAAGTGGGACAAGCGAGCATACTGGTCAGTTTCAACTCAGGAGTCGCTTTTCTTGAAGTTGATATCTCGTGATAATCTATACTAATATTATAAAGCTGAAGAGTTTGTTTGTTTGTTTGTTTGTTTGTTTGTTTGAACGCGCTAATCTCAGGAACTACTGGTCCGATTTGAAAAATTCTTTCAGTGTTAGATAGCCCATTTATCGAGGAAGGCTATAGGCTATATATCATCACGCTAAGACCAATAGGAGCGGAGCACCAATGAAGAATGTTTCAAAAACGGAGAAAATTTATTACTATTGAGAGACGCAGACGAAGTTGCGCGGGTCAGCTAGTTAATAATATTTTTTTTATTGATTGTACATAAAATCAATCTTTACAATGATATTATATATTTCTAACAATTTACATAACATAATAAAAATCAATTTGACCTACTGAAATAGCTGAAGTGAAGTATAGGTATGCAATATCATTATTAGTATCATATTTAAAGAAGCATACAAAATTATATTTATTTTGGATGTTTTAATGTACCTCAACAAACAATTATAACTATTTTAAGCTGTGTTAAATAAGTCCAAACCGAAACATTAATTACTCTAATTACCAAAATAAAAGCGATAATTACATCTGTGTGCGTTTTGCCTGTTTAAATGTCGACACGCCATTGACCTTTCCAAGGTCAAGACTGTCACACGATATAGCACAAGAGTTTTCACAATTTTTTTCATGGCATAGGAGGCAAACAAGTAGACGCACTTGACACCACCACCAATTGAAGAAACACCAGTGTGTTGCGGTCCTTTGAGGACTCCTTCAAGAATCCTTCATTCATTTCATTCGCTTGGTGAAAAGTAACGGAGGAATTGCTTAACACCTGGGAGGCTGTGGTGTCAGTCCGATTGCGCCAGCCCGTATATACCTAAGCAAAGTTTCTCCCACTTTAAATGCTCTAATCCAACTTGAAGAGACGCAATTCTAAAATTTTAAAGATCTTTACGACTCTTACACTACTTTAGGAGATATCACCACATATTTGCAGAATTCAGTAACAAAGAGAATAAAAAATTAAAGTATGGAATACCAAGCCCAAACTTGATTGAAAAAGTCGATATCAAAGCGAGCGAAACCTCGTGCTAAAGCTAATTAAGCCATAATAACGAACTTTGTTATTAAGCAACGCCCACAGTGGTATAGTTTAGGACTAGTTTAACTTATTATTGCTTTATGTTATATTCTTACATATCCATTTTCTTTAAGGGTTTATTCAATTTCTAAACTTTGCCATATGAACAATGGACCCACTAGTGACACAATACCGTATTGATTTACCAGTTATCTGTGGTAATGAATATGTTATGTAAAATAAAATGTAAAATAACATAATTAAAATTAAATATACCTTTAGGATGAATGTATTCCTGAAGAGTGCGTTTATTAATAGTTTACTAATACAACCTCTATACGAATGGTATGGTGTGAAGCCGGCGCTAACACCAGTAAGGAAGGAAAAACAAATTGGTGAAGTTTGGAAATGATTTGAAAGGGTATCCCAAAACTGAAGCGAATACTAAATTACTGTCGACTCTTGGATGAGTGGAGTAATTCGAGCACTAGATCAATGGTTCGAGGATGATATGATTGATTACAGGATAAAGTGGGTCGTTTAGAAAATAACTATGTTAGTACGATAAAATCTAAGGGGTGCTGTGCGATGAAGTCACTGAAAGTTATATTATGTTTATTGTATTTAGATTGATTTTCAGTTATCAGAATGTCTGATGTCATTGGAAATTTCAAGAACTCTTACTTTGCTTCTGCCTGAGACTGTTCAGTTAGTCGAGTTGTGTTACGCGATTTGCTGCAAGGAGTTATGTCCACCATTTTTAGCAATCCTACTTGGTATTAACTATAATAGTATCCAATTAACAACAATATTCCACTCGTATTCGAATATTTTACAAAATTGCAGTCACTTATACATTATTTATCAAATTTAAAGGCGGTAAGTGCTCAAGAATCGTGACGAGCATTAAAACAAAGTCGTCAATAAAAACTGTCAGTGACTTTTTAATTACTTAATTCTAACATTTAGGTAGGTATTTACAAATTTTGTAAGTTTAGTAATAACGAGGTTCTTAATATATTACAGCAAAATATGATTAAGGAAGACATTCGCCACATTAGATTCGCATTTAGCTCAACAGGTGATTGAGACTTGAGTTTTACGTAGACTTCCTGTATCTGAGAACCTAGTAACTACGACTACCACTGTTTACATCATTTATTATTATTTCATTAATATAGACACATATAAAATTACAGAAAATAGACTATATGCGGTTCTACGCAGAAAAGTGTAATAGTATGAATGTAAATAACGTTCTACGATTTTCTGGTTCAATCGCCATGATCTTATTACTTGGGCGGCACCCAACGTCGTCAACCTCACAAGAGGGTGTCGTGTCCTTTGTGAGGGACGAGTTCGTGATACGCCCGCTTCATTTTTAGCCTGTGACTCCACTCGACAGTAACGTCAAGATAAACTGGATTGTTACTAATATGAGGGCGATGGAGATAATACACTAAACGCTACAAGTCTGTTATTATGCTTCTTAGTTTTAAACTTAGTTTTAGTGTAAAGTTATAAGCGTACGTACGCTAAGCCTGAACGAACCTGGGATTGCTCTTCTAGAAATAGCTTCAAAAATCGAATGGAATGTATATCCATAATTTATAGGTATTCGTTCAGATAACGAACTATTATATCTATATATATATCCAAAAGAAATGAAACGATTTTACATTGACTTACTTTGGGTTACAACCCACTCAACGAGCCTTAAAAAATAAATCAATTAATTAGAAAATAAGATGGAGCCGCGTAAGTCGTAACATTTCAAATTTTACAAAAATCTTTCATAAGCAATGTTTTAAAAATACAGTTTTTAATTAGAAGATTGAAGCGTTTACGTACCGAATTTAGTTTAAAAATAATTTTTTTGCGTTTTTTTTTATATTCTACAACTAAAACAAAGAACGGACGTAGGCCTCTCCTTAAAAATGAGGTTTTTGATGATACTGTGACATTTTAAAAATACCTTTTTCTTTTTCAATTTGTTCGTTTACACACCAGTGTTTTCAAGGCAAGAGGCAGGTGTGACCTAAATGACGCTTTACGGGAAGTCCTTAGACATCCAACGAATGTAGGCTAGCCTTAAGCTGTTTGCGCCCTCACTCAAAACAGTCTTTTCATTTACGATCTTGCTTTCAAAAGCCGATAAAAAAGAAAATTCTTGACCTACTTCAAAGGTATATTTTTATTTTAGATTCCTTAGAAATCATATCTTGTTACTAAGCCTATCATAATGTTTGATCAATAATTCTTCGCCTGAGGCATTGCGTGCTGACCCCCATAAAACCGTGTTTCTTGTCTACTTAAAATGCTAACACTTATAATAATAATTTTAGTAGCATAGCCTCTTTAATTATTTTCGGTAAGGTCGTTATCCTTCACTTTATCCTTACCTGTCTTTTAGATTACCTTAGTAATAGTGATTACAAATGTTAAATTCCATTGATAAAGATTGTTTTACTAAATTACGCAATGAAGTAATAAAATTTACGTGTGTAATCGTAGATTTAACGAAGGCATTTGACAACGTCAACCAGAAGTATTTGAATGTAACTGCATAATATGCGTTATGCTCTTACATACTCGTATTATGTACCTCAGGCGACAAGTGTGTAACCGCAAACCACAAGCACCACAAACACAATGGTCTTCGGCATGTGGCATGTGCTTGGGAAACTAAAGCTTCGGTTCATCACGTTTTGTTTACAAACTCATATTGTGGTGATATCTAATTACACGTGGCAAGAAGTTTTCAAGGTTTATTTTTTATTTAATAAGAGATAAGTAAACTTTTTCTTATATCTGTTTTAAATAACTGTTGGCTATCTATCCCTTCTATAGAGCTTTTGTAACCCAGCTCACTAGCTGCTTTGCTCAATCATTTTTTTTTTGGTGTAGGTGACATGATAAATTAATGACTCTGAATATGAAAGCTCTAAAGACGCCCGAAAGGAATCGCGATGATAAAATAGCACTAGCAGAGAAACTGAATAAATGTAACGAATATTAAAACCGGTGTCTCGATGACTTTGAGGAAATTTCAAAGGAGGCTGAAATGTTTACAAACATCACAGAAGCGATTTAGGGTCGTTGTGGAATTTGTGTTGTTGTCGTGTAATGTCTTCTGTTGGTTGAGTTCATAACATTATTTGAACTATTATTGTAACAATAAGTACTTCAATGTTAAACACTAAACTCACCTGTGCCTCTCCGAGTCCGAGTTCAATAGCGTCGATGCTTTTCCTGACGAGGGATGCCTTCTCATGTTCATGATCTGTATTGGATGCTAACCCCGCGAGAAGCTGAGCATGTTCTGCCCTTAGAGCTTCAAGACCCGCGGCGACTGTCCTTGCCCCCGCCACCATTTCCTCCTGCGTCATCGCCGTCATCTTGCCTAGCGATTCGATCTTCTTTCTGAGAACAAAAAGAAAAACATCTATTAAAAACATGTTTAGTTTGAATAGTAAGGGAATTCCCCGGTTCTCTATGAAATAAATTTTATATCAACATTAAAACTAATTTCAGCATTGGTAAAATCAATATCCATAATTAGGCAATATATCTCAATTATTACTAATTATTTATCAGTCAGAAGAACTGTTTTCCTTTTTTTTTAAAGGTTTACTAGCAACCGAAATTACTAGTATTCCCATTAACCCCTCCAGCTAAGGTAAATTGCTTGTGTTAGGAGTGGGTTCACGTCGGTAGGGTACTGGTCAGGAGTCGAACCCACGACATCTTAATCGCAAGTCCAAAGCCTTAACCACTAGTCTCCGCCGCTTTAAAAATGAATTTTGATGATAATGGAACTAAGATAAATGACAATACATGTTCTTAAAAGCTCTTGAGCAATGACATTTCATGTACCTACGTCATTATGTAAATTGACATATCACAATATAGCTTAACTGAATCAAAATGCTGTCTAATTTGTTTCTAACCTTGTTAACAGACTGGAATGTTTAGGCAATTTACACGATAATGCGTGGTGAGTGATATGGAGTTATTGGCATTTGTGCTACCTAAACGCACTGGTAGTTTATGGTCATAGCTCATAAAAACGAGGTACCGGTACCACCCTTGAATTGAAGCGGGTATTAGTTTAGGTATTTGAGGTTTATATCTCTTGACAGCAACTGAATAAATAGTGCCTTGATGTCTCTTTTAAACCAAAAAAAGATTTTTTTATCACAGGTATTTCTTTTAAACACAAAGAAATATCAGAATTTTAGAGCTAACCGGTCTTTTTCTTAGAACAATTTTTTGCCCAAAGCTTTGAAAACTTTTTCTTTCATCTAACGATGTAATTTTTAATGGAATTTACATTTGTATAATTTCCTTTATTGTAGAATGATTGTTATTTCACCTGCCAGAGATACATATAATAAAAGTTGTTGGAATATAATTTGAATCAGTTGATTGCCAAAACATCTCAAATGTGTTAATCCTTAGAAAACGGTATTACATAATCAAGGTCACATATTTCCCAGCGACTAACATATTAGAGAGTATTCTATATGGAATAACACAGCGATGAGGACTTTCTGGTCGTTTAAACGTACAATGTGTCTTGCTGCCTTTGCTTATTCTTTGTTTTTATTACTCAATTGTAATCTTGAGTTTAGTTTATATTCATGAAAGTAAAAAGTTGATGGACTCAGTATAATATATATAATAATGCTCGCTCTAATATGGCCTTAGCGTGCTCTGTTGACCTTTAATAACATTCTATTGATTTTACATTTAAATATAGTTCTATTTAAAAACCAAGCTGTGAAGTGAGTCAGCCTGCTGTTATATCATTTCATAGTTTTAACATAGACAATTCTTTTTAACAGCAGTGTCTAGCCTAAGACTTCTTTTTAGTGCAAATCTAAGTCAGATCTTTATAAGGATGTTTAGAAATACCAGATTAATAACAAGGTAAATAAGTATTTTAAGTATTAATCGATATAAAAATTCCATAATCGTATTTATCAAAAATTATTGCGGAATACAAGCCTATAGACGCTTAAGACAAAGACGAGAAGAATTCTAATAAAGGATACAAAACTCAACACAACAGCAACTCCCAATAGTAAATATAGAGCAATCAAATAACCTTCTCTATAACACAATCAATACAAACAAATATAGAATACTATACAAACAAATTATGAAAGACGAGGGCGGAAACATTACATTACCGCACTTACTTTCAACACATCCATGCCGAATGTATTGGATACGAGAGCTCAGCTCAATGTGGAAGTGTTGAAACAGGGGTGGCTACCGGAACATTATTGTGAGAAGCAGATTACAACGTATCAGTTTAATGGGATAATTGCTTTGCAAAATGAGGACTGTTTTCAATAGTTCGGTACAAATTAAGGTGTAAATGTTTATCGTATTTAAGATTTTACGTGAAGTTTATCTCACTAATAGTAGGTACAAATTTATGAATGTATCTAGAAAATTCTCGATCTTAGACAATTCAAGGACTGCTTCTGCTACAAATGTTCTTTGAAGATCCTGAAATCTAACAAAACTTTACAGTTTTGTCAAATCCGATGAGTTTCCAAAACGTTGATCAAAGAAAATAAATAATTTCATATTAGATTTTAACTCTGTTAATTAATCAAATTATACTTTTAGCAACTCAATATACACTTGACAAGAGATTTAAGCCTTTCAGAAATCGGACGTGAGACTAAAGCTCGATTTCCAATGTACAATCGAAGATACCTCTTCTTCGATTAGATAATCTAATATAAATTTATTTTCTTTATATCAAAATATTCCAAGTGTGGTAATGTAAACAAAACACAGTAGTATTTCCTACGCGCATAGTAAGATTCAATTAAGGAAAATGGGTTACATTTATTATTGCATGTGATGAACGTTTACGTAAATAAATTCATTGCTGAACCAATTCACTGTTTAAACTTACAACTTTGTTATACGCAAGTATATTTAGTATGCAAATTGAAATGTTAAAAAAGGTGCTATCTAATTTATTATTAAAGGTCGTTATATAGGGTACATTGTTATTCTCTTTAATAATTTAATGTTAGATTTAATAATGATTTTAATAATCTTAATCCTTTTGGATTTGATAGACAGATAATAATAATACATCCTCCTGAAAGCCCGGCAACGCGCTTGTGACTCCTGAGTTGCATGCATTCAAATTTTAATGGCACGTTTTATAAGTCGGTGGTTGGCTGGTTCAACATAATCTCAAATATCCAGAATTCATTTGGTAACTGCAGCAGTACATCGCTTAGCGCAAGCGTAATTGATTTTTCAAACTACAGCCTACTTTGTTTTATAAATAAATCCACGAAATATGCAAAGCTAAAAATGCTTTGGACGTACCTACCATTTCGTTGAAATATGATTCCGGAACAAAACCATTAGTGCTGATGTTACTCCTGTACAGTTCTTAACCTGGCCACGTTCAGGCCATAAAGTTTATTTTCCTATTTCACACGTCTTACCATTTCGCGTAAAGCAGGCAGCATTTTTACTTTACGGTTGTCTAAGCAACGTTACATAAAATTCAGGGGAATTTCTCGAGATCCAAGAAAATCTTTTAACAGAACTGCAGTAAAGAATATTTCGTTAATACTTTACCACTACACCAAAAGCCAGATCAGACATGAACTATGATAGCAAAATATGACCTAAGAGACCATGGCAAATAGAAAGTGTCTAGGCTTATTATAGAAAATGATTACCATAGCTAGAATATGAAAACCGATTACAGCATATAATAATAAACAGTGTCTAACCATATGGCTTCACACAAGACTTATACAATTAATTTTTCGTACAACAAAGGGGACTAAACTTGGTAAAATCTTTATAATCCAATAATAGTTGGGTCAGATATCGTCATTACGGAAACTACACAGAAACTTGTAAACAAGATTAACAACTAAAGAGCTTACTTTACGAAAATAAATATTACGTGATATGCGAATGCCAGGAATACAATTGTTTCCCAATTTATTGTCCTTTATCAGTATTTTTGTTCAAATACTCGATAAAATAAGATCGAAACCGTTATCCGTGCCTGATAACGGTTATGAGGTCCTGTCAGTGTAAGTAGTGTTACTGACAGAAATCTTTAATTACTCCTAACTTTGAAAAGAGACAGTTCAGTAGCTTTTTCTACGGTGTTTGTCGACCGATTTTTTTATATTGAGAATCCGTTGATGTGTTTTTACCTACCATCGACGCATATACCTGTTTTTAATAAATTAAGGAATTACGTTTAACTTTCGAGTTCTGGGGCTCTGTTATTATTAGTGGGTAAATGTCATCGGTTTGTCTTTTTAAAGTCCAAAGACGACCAGATAATGACCAATGTAGGTGCAAGGCGAATAGCATTATGCGGCCAAGTTCAAGTGACGTCAAAAATGATTGAGTTTAAATCAAGGTGTTTAATACAAAATAGTATTTAATACACTAGGCTTAGCTGAATGATTAAAACATTTTTTATAAATGAGTAGTTAACAAAGTGAAACTCGAAATCAAGATTCTAGCTGGTTGAATTGTATATACTAACTTATCGTCAGGCAGGACAAGAGGTGTTTTCCTGTAATTTATTTTCAATATCCTCCTACATTACCTGTCACTCAATTTTCTCATCTAATCTCTAATGTGTCCGATTTTTTGACAAAATGTTTTGTACCCCTTCAGGGATATAGGCGTGAGTGAATGTATGATTTGTTTTCTTTAAACTGGAAAATTTAGAACCTTTTCTTATTCATTATCCAACATAATCGGAATCCGTAGTCAATACTTTCTAAAACAACTTTAGCTGTTAAAATTCACAAATCATGATTGATATGCCCGACGACACGTCAACTATATAAAAACAATGCTATTTTAGATATAGGTCTGTGGATTAGAATACTTCCTTTCAGAGGTCAGACATCACAGGTATGGCTTAGACAGCTCAAAGCATATATTGACACCTACGTGACTTGCTTGCTAGTATAAAATATTACTCGCTTGTAGAACTTTATTAGCATTTTAAGGGTTCCGTACCTCCGAAGCCTTATAAGATCAATTTGCTGCCCGGTTGTTTGTCGGTCGTTCAAGACCCTGTATCTCGGGAAAACGAGTTGAAATTAAAACTAACTCAGGTGAAGTTGTGAAAAAATCAAACTTCTAAATTCACGAAAAAAAAGATACGGTCATTTATAATGCACATTTCTTCTTTCACTCTCAAGGGAATCAAAACTTATACGGGTATTTCCCGTTGACCTAAAACTATGAAATTTGACAAGTAGCATCGTCTTATACTGCAAGTATGGGGAAAATCTGACACTATACATTTGTAATCAAATCGTAAAAAATATAGTCTTTATTTAAAGTACGTAATCAATCATCCAGGTACAATTCCACTTAAAAAACACAATAAT